CTACTACTACTACTTCTACTACTACTACTACTATTATTAGTTCTACTACGACTACTACTACTACTACTACTACTACTACTACTACTACTACTGCTACGACTTCTACTACTACTACTACTGCTGCTGCTGCTGCTACTGCTGTGCTACCACTACTGCTACTGCTAGTTATACTACTACTACTACTACTACTACTACTACTACTACTACTACTACTACTACTACTACTGCTACTGCTACTGCTACTGCTACTGCTACTGCTACTGTTACTACTACTCCTCCTACTCCTACTCCTACTCCTATTCCTATTCGACCTAACCCTCTGCGCCCAAGACGCCTGGAGAAAGGATCACTCTGGATTCAGGGGGGAGTCCTGGCTTTTCGACCACTCTTCAGATCCGGGTCGGGCAAGATACTGCTCGTTGCCGAGGCCAGCCGCGGCCAGACACCAGTATTAATCGTGCCTTTATGTTACCTTCGTCATGGTAGCCCGATGGCAGTACCTTGTTTCAGGTCCTGGATCATGGACCCCTCGTAGAACGCAACCGCCCAGCTCTCGCTTCAGAAACCGCCAAAGATCACCGAAGACTGTCAGAAGACTGCCAAAGACCGTCAGAATAACTACATCAGAACACCGCCGATGAGGGCCAGAAGACCGCCGAAGACCGAAGAAGGCCGATGGGCAACAAGAAGTCCATGGTCGAACTCGTGCAGGTAGTTCCTCCGCAAAGTGCAGTTGTCATCCTCATCTGGCCCGGGGCTGAAAGCGAGTCGAGTGGCGCGCGGGGCGGCAGGTGATCGCCGGCGAGCTCGGGTGGGAGCCCGAAGGCGCCAGAGCCTCTTTCGCCTTCTGCATTCCGCTTTCCCCCCTCGCTCCCATTCCTCGTCTTCCTGCTCTTCGCCCTCTCCCTCCTCGTCGCCCCCCTTGTCCGCCCTCGCGTCCCATTTGCAGATCCGAGAGGATGCTTCAGACTTTGACTCTCGCCAATTGCTGGTAGCAAAGGCTTTTCGTCCCTATGCCGCAATCAGGGAGTTCGGTAGCGCTCGCCTTCGGCGATGCCTGCGGCGGCGCGCGGTAAGCGTGGATGGGGCTGCGCGTGGATGCACTCTGACTCCACCGCCGACGACCTCGAGTTTTCGGACTTTCGGACCCCGTCCGCGCGGTGGAGAGCGCGCCCGCGCTGTCTGGCACTCTGATGGGACCGCGGCTGACGGTCAATTGCGATGATCGGCGCGTTTAACAGCGTTTTGGGAGGACAGCCGCGCGGCGGGCCTGGTCCACTTCGTCACGGACACCACGCACGTGTAGCGCGGCTTCTAGCGCGCCCTTCGGCGCGGGGCTCGGCCTTGCAGCGGAACTCGCCGCGCGCTGCGAGCCCAGTCCAGCGTCGAGCTGGCGAGGCCAGGGAGTGAGGTGCAGACGTCCAAAGTGGAGTGCTTCAAGGAGCGCAATGCGGTCGTGCAGAACGGCGCCGAGGCCATGCTCTCTTTCTCTGGGGATGCGCGCACGGCTGCTCTCCCTGAGGGAGGCAGCAGCGTGGGCGCAGCTACCACGCCACGTGGCGGAGGCCTTCCTGGACTTGGAGGCGCGCCCCCCGCCGTGGTTCAGAGGCGTCTGGGCGCGGTCACCTTGGACGCCGCGCATGTGCAATCCTCGGTACGCGTCGAGGCTTAAGTCGGGCCTGTCCCTCTACAGGAGGAATATTCAACAATAGTAAAACATAATATGGGGACGTTTTTTTTTTTTGTTTGTTTGTTTTTTTTAATATTTTTTTGACCGTTTGGGATTTTTTTTACTATTTTTTATTTTTCGTCGAAAATCCCCCTGTAGGGGGACAGGCCCGACCCAAGTCGAGGCGCGTCCGCGGATTCCGGGGCCTCGCCCCGCGGCCGAGGCCGATGACGTCCACGGATCGGTTGAGCCAAGCCATGGGGTCCTTGCTCTCGCAGTTATTTAAACTCGCCTTGGGCGCCGTCCTCGGGTCGGCTCGACATTGCTGGACTGGCGGAGGAGCGTCAGTAACGTCACCGACATCGGGGGGGAATTGCACACTCAGGCGCATCCTTCAAGAGGCGCGTGCACGTGTGGGACTTCCACCAGATAGGCAGCCCCCGCCTCAAGCGCAGCAGCAAGGGCAGCCGCAAGCCGGGTTGGCTGCGAACCTCCATGGTTGGACACGGCTGGGAATTCGGGGGCGGCCAAGGGGGGGGGGGTGATGACTAGAATTAAGTCGGGCCTGTCCTTCTGCAGGAGGTATATTCAAGAACAGTCAAACCATAGTCTGGGGACGATTGTTCGATTACTTGTTTCATTATTTGAAGCATGTTCTGACTATTTGTAGATGTTTCTCCCAAGACCCGCCTGTAGGAGCACATGCCCGACCTGAGACTAGGAGGGGTGGATCTCACGGCCGGGGCCGCTTCTTGCTTCGGCACGCCCCCTGGCCCCCCCCTGGGCCGCGCACGCGCCTCCGGCCATCAGATCTGCGACCCCGCCGCTCGGACGCCGGCCTCCAGGGACGCCCCCGCCCGATGCCTCCAGCAGCCGCGAAGCAGCAGGAGCACCAGCGCGCCGATGCCGCTCACGCCGCGCTGCAGCGGACCAGCTGAGCCGCGGCTGCGGCGCGCTGGCGGCGCCGTCTGCCGTCCCCCATGCTTCCACTTGTTCTCCCTTTTCCCCTCTCTCCTCTCCTTCTCTTCTCCCCGCTCTGAACACGCGCTCAGACATGCTTACAAAGAACTTGAGCGCGATGATCCCGAACTAGTTGGGAAGTCATCATTCTTTTCGAACGATGTTCAACTTTTGTTCAAACAAGTTCAGAATTTGATTTAGATGCCTGGCGTTGTTTGTTCAGTTGCCGGCGTAGGTAAATCATTATCAATTTATGTTTTAAGCTTGACCTGTCTCCCAGGTCCCACAGCCCCCGCAGGTCCCATAAGTTCCAGGGGCCCCGTTGGTCCCACAGGGCCCACGGGGCCCACGGGTGCCCGAGGTCCCACAGGCCTCACAGGTCCAGCAGGCCCCACAGGTCGCACATGGCCCGCAGGTCGCACGGGCCCCGCAGGTCGCACAGGTCACGCAGGTCACACAGGTCTCACACGCCCTGCAAGTCTCGAAGCCCCACGGGCCCCACAGGGCGCAACGGCCGCAAAGGTCGCAGTCTGGCATCCTGGCAGCATTACCATCGTGAAGTACCAATGATGCTGACTCCCAGTAGCACTGAGGAAATTCTCATGCGGGGTCCTTCCGTCGGTGTAATTTCAAGTGCCGTTGGGAACCCTGGCCTTGTCAGATCCCTCGCCCTTTTATAACACTATTTCCTAGTCCACGACTTCTCTCTCCTCTCCTCCTCATGCGCCTCCCTACGTCCTTTCCCTGCCAACCCCAATCCGCCTTAGCCCTCTCCCAACCTCATTTCCCCCCGCCTGCTCGCCGAAGCCTTGCTTTCCTGGGCACGAAGCCGGGGCAGGTCGAACCCCGCGAGACGTACCGCGACCCTGACGACTGCAAAACGCAGTTTGCACATGGTGGGACTTCCAGGAGGGGCCAGACCTTGGCATCGCCTACACGGTGTGGACTTTTTCTCGGCGCGGACCCTCGAGGAGCAGTTGGGGTCATCTGCGGGAAAAAATGTCATCGACACGCACGAGACCGTCAAATGCACGACGACTGGACGTCCGAGCGATGGCAGGTTGCAGCATCGGAGGCCGATGGAACTCCCACCCCGCTGAGTTGATCCGCGAGCTGCCTTCTCCGGGTTCTCGAGAGGCGGTGTGGCGGCCGCAGCTCCTTTCTGGGCCTGCCCCTGTGCTGCCGCCCATCCGAGCCTTGCCCTGGGCACGGCGTGGGCGTGGCCAAGCCGGAGGACGCGTAAGGGGGGGCTTGGTATCGCTCGGACGTGTGCACCTTTTCCCGGCGGGGATTATTATTATTATTATTGTTATTATTATTATTATTATTAGTATTATTATTATTATTACTACTATTAATACTAAGGAGCATCCTGGATCATGCTGCGAAAAACCTCGCACGAAACCGGAAAAAAACATAGGGAATGGACGTCCGAGCGATGGCCGGGGAGGGAGGGGGGTACCATCAATGGGGGGTGGAGGGGCAGCGGGGGCTGCAGACGGAGGCCCTCTGGGGCCCCTTCAGGGGCGCTCTCGGGTCCGAGAGGGGCACCTTTCTCCCCCCCGACCCTAGGTATCGCCCTCCCAGGAAGTCGCGCCCAAGCCAAGGAGGGTGTCCGTCTGGCGGGCGGCGGGTAAGAGCACGCGCGTACGCTCTGCCTTCCTCGCTCCGCGGCGAACGTCGGCTGGACGCCATCTCGCGCCGTCGGGTCCTGAGCTGTGGCCTGGCATCGCTCGGACGTGTGCATATCTCTTTTGGCGAGGACCATCGAGGAGCATCCTTGATCATTTGGCGAAAAAACCACGCACGCAACCGAAAAAACACACGGAATGGACGTCCGAGCGATGGCGAGGTGGTCCCTTTCAACGATTCGGCCTGCAGGCTGCCTTTGTGGGTTGCCCAGCTTCCCTGACCCAGCCCCGTCCTGCAGCCTTCGCTTCTGAGCATCCATCGAGCTTGGCTGCGATCGTCCCTGAGATCCGCCGATGTGTTGCTTTGTCGATCTGGGGCCCTGTGGTCCCAATCGCTTCCCCTGGGTAGTTTCTCGTCTCAGATCCATGCTTGATGGTCCTGTGGTCCAATAAGGGGCCCCAGAGGACGAGATGAAGGACAAATGCGGGGATTGAGAAAATCAGAGCGTCGGAGCATTCCTTCGGTAAGAGATGGCTTGCCCAGTCCCCCTGACGCCAGAAGCTGCTGACATGGCGGGCAAGATCCACCGCAGGAAGCAGGACAAGCGCCGCCTTCTGGCCGGGCTGCTCTCCACCAGCGTCTCCAGGGTCTCCGCGGCGAGGCCTGCGCGCGCGCACGCGCGCGCTCGCGGCGAGCGCGGACGAACGAGGAGGAACGAGGAGGCGCCTCGCAGGGGACCTGTCCATTGCAGGCCAGGGCCGGCGCCGCTCTTCGCAAGGACGTTTGGAACCTTTGGGGGCCCCGTGGCCCCTCGGGCTTCTTGGGAGCCCCGTGGCGTTTCCTGTGGATTTCTCGAAGCGGAGTGTTCGGATGTTCGGTTCGCATTCCCAAGGCCTTCAAGACGCCCCCAAGCTGCGCCAGGAGGCCCCCAGGGGGTCCCATCGGAGGGCCCAAAATAGGGCCCCGAGAGGCCCAAGAGGCTTCAAAATCGTTCAAGACGGCTCCGAGAAGGCGATCAGGCCCTCCCTCCCAAAAGGTGACCTACGATGTCCGACCTTGCCACCCGAACAGCAGCCAAGAAGCCCCAGGAAACCCAAAGGACCCACCCAAGAGGCCCCAAGAGATCTCAACACGCCCCAGGAGTGCTGCAAACGAAAGCTAGTACAGCCCGAAGAACCCCAACCCGCGCCCCTAGACGGACGAGTTCACACCAGGATCGCCCAAGAAAGCACGACGTTACTTCCAACTCCAGCCCGAGTGACCTCCCCATGGGCCATGGGTTGGGGTCTGGATGGTCTCTTCAATTCGTGCAGGTTCTTGGGTTCCCGTGTGTGTTTGTATATCTGTATATATACCTACGCACAGAGGGAAGCACCTTGCAGTCGTACATCCAGGACGCTGAGATAAGGCGACCGCTCTGGGCTCGGGAGGGGCTCTGGTTTTCGGGCCGCTCCTTGAGACCCAGGTCCGGCGAGACAGTTCGTGGCCGCGGCTCGCCGTGGCCGGAGAAGCCCCTTCCTCCCCGATCCAGCGTCCCTTCTGGCAGCGAGAGGGCCGCACAGAACGGAGGAGTCGCACGACGAGGAGCAGAAAAAGGAAGAAGGAGGAAGAGGAGCAGGAAACATAGTTGCAGGAGCCCGAGTACCAGCGCAGGGCGGGCCCAGCTCTCTGACGTCGCATTTGTTTCACAACGCGGACCCCCAGAGGTCCACACCCTTTCCCTGCGGACCGGCTTCTCATCCCGCGTCCTGTTGGGACGGCCCCGGCGCCTTGAGAGGGCCCCAGGAAGGGCGAAATTGGTCAAGAACCTCCTGGCGTGATTTTCTTTGGGCAACGAGACGAGGTGGGGGGAGGGGAGGAAGTCAGGCGGTGCTAATGTTAGATCCGTTCCACGCATTCCAGGGAACGCTCTCAGAGCGTTCTGGAGCGTTCTGAGACGGCCGCGGCGCCCGAGACATCCTCCACAGCCTCCAGATCTTAGAGATTCCTGATGCATCCTCGTCCGAATTACAGTGCCGTTTCTAATACATGCTCCGCGTGCGGATCATGTATTAAGCATGCTGGGATTTAGTACTAACAACAACGATGAGTTCATGCACACATCCATGCATAAATTCGTCATGTATCAAAAATCTCATATGTTTGAAAAACCATGTATTAATAACTGCCCTGTAGTCCTCGTCCTGGCTTCGTCTCAGGGGCAGGGGGGCGGCCACAGCGAGGAGCGAGCCGCGCGCAGGAAGCGCGGCGGCCCGCTCCCGCGGCGGACAGCGGGCGCTCCCCGGCCAGGCACACGGCGATGCTCCTGAACGCGGGGAGCGCCGCGGGTCTCTGGCGCAGCGCCCTGGACCCCGCGCTGCGCGCCGAGATCGACGGGGCGAGCCGGGCGTGGCATGCCTCGTGTTCGGCCTCGGGAGGAGGGGGAGGAGAACGAGGACCGAGGACGAGGACGAGGACGAAGAGGAGGAGGAGGAGGAGGAGGAGGAGGAGGAGCAGAAGCAGGAGCAGGAGGAGGAAGAGGAGGAGGAGGAGAAAGAGAAAGAGAAAGAGGAGACAGAGGGAGGATGGAGGAGGGAGGCCCCCCCTCACCCTGTGGGATGATGTTTGCCGCAGGGGCAACGTGAGGCGGGATAGGCTCAGGGGGGCGGACGCATCGACCCCCATTCGCTCACTGATCGCCGATAGGGGCCCGATCGCTCAGCCCGCCATTGAACGGGAGGATTCGCTATCGGGGGCCGACCGCCGATCCATCGGCGATGTATCTCCGATCTTATGTCGATGTTTCACCCCTGACTCAGACTCCCACATGTCGTTGCCCCTCATGGCTGCCAGTCCCCGTTGCAGCCCCTCAAGTTGAATCGCCTGGACATCGAGCTTGTAGACTTCGCCAGGCGGCAGCTCTATGATCGCTACAAGGCGTCCCGAACGCGGGTGCAGGGGCAACGCCTTGAGATGAGGGACGGAGGTGAATACTTGATGGGGGACGGGGGGGAGAAGGGGATGAAAGGCCACGAAGTGCCGCGGTGTCCCTGAAGGAACGCAGGGGACGTTTCATTTGCGCCGTTGCCATTCGATTGCACACGAACGCTGCCGGTGACAAGGAGAAGGCGGTGGAGGAAAACGAGGAGGAACACGAGGAGCTGGGCGAGGAGAAGGAGGAGGAGGTGGAGGATGACGAAGAGAAAGACAAGGGTGCTTACTGCTATCTGTATGGTGCTCTGTGTTCGTGTACCTGCACGTGAGCCTGCTCCATCTACAGACGTGTGCCTGCAAGCGTACATGCGTATGCCGGAAGGTATAGGCGTATGCCTATACGCAGATGTGTACCTACGTATGCCACCATGTACATACGCCGAAAGGCAGGAGATGGGGAGGTACAACGACACGCATACACACAGATATCAAGGATGCAGAGAGGGCAAGAATGAAGAGCGACAGAGAGAGAGAGAGAGAGAGACACATATATTCATACCTAGAACGCGAGAGAGATCGGGTGATGCCGTATTGCGCGTGTGATGTTCTTCTTTGGGCACGTCGCAACGGCTGTGCCTGATTTGCGCACACGCCGCAGCCTTTGCAGCACCGCATGTGATGGTCGAGTTGCCAGGGGAACGGGGGGGATACTGCGAGTTGCAGGGGGCAGAGGGATTCGCAAACGAATCTTGAGACAGAGTTGAAGATGGCGGCGGTGATCCAGTATCTCTCAGAGGCACGGGATGACAGAGAGAGAGGGAGTGAAAGTGAGAGTGATAAAGAACACAGTATCTATCAGAAAGCCCCGCATCATTGATGGATTCGCATTTGGGCCGATCATGGATAGATCTCCTACATTGCTGTTGTCCAAGCGTTTCTTCACCAGCTTCAGGATGTCAGCGCCACGTGCGACACCCTTGCGCATGCACGGGGTGTTGCCTGCAAGGCATGGTTCAGCACTTGCCAAGGATACATGTTCAACCGTCGGACAGCAGGCGTTGCCTTCTGGGGCTACGGTCGGAAGTTTCGGTTTAGCGTGTCGCTCTGCCAGTTCTCGCCCCCCACGTTTCGGCGCGACACGCTATCCACGCTCCAATTCACAAGTGGCATCGTCCTGAGCTGTTCTTGGCCTCCCGCCCCGCGGGGCGGAACGACATGCCATCCGTTTGCAAGGCACGGCATGTCGCCAGGGCCGCCGCCGCTAATCCAAAATTCTTAACCGCAATCGCCTTTCAAGCGTAGCCGTTCGTAGGGAATCTCGGCGAGCCTGCCTTTTGCCACAAAACATTGAAAGTAGAGGGGCCCTGCCAGGAGAACATGCGTAACTACGGTTGGAGGTTGTCCGGGACGGCTGGTGCATCGGAGGTTATCGGGGCAGCAGCGGGTGGAAGGACGCGGCACCGACCTCGCCAAACAAGGGGCGAAGATTTCGACGAGGGGGAGAACATTGAGGAGGAGGAGGAGGATGTGGCGCATTAGTAGAGGGGGGCAGGGGGTAGGAAAAGGGACAGAGGGGCCTCCAGTGTAAACCCAAGACTTCTGAACGATGTTGGAATACACCCTCTCTTCGAGCTCTGTCCTCATAGGCCCCATACGAGGGCTCCCGTGAATTGCGGGAGGTGCCCGGTTGGGAGACAACCGTTTGAAGATCTTGCACGGTGGAAAACGATTCCTTTCTCGGAATTCTAACGCCACGAATTGACCTAATTGTTGCGTCTTGACGCTCCTGAACCGTGCCACACCACCATTCCTGGGATTTGAACACCGCGAATCACCGTAGTTGCTGCGCCCTGGCAGTCCTGAACCGTTTGAAAAACTATTTCAGTAGCTGTGGGAGCCCGAGAAAGAGAGAGAGAGAGAGAGAGAGAGAAACAAAAGAGATATATATATATATAGAGAGAGATAGAGGAAACACAACAACGAACGTGCGCGGCGCTAAGGCTAGAGCCCCACTTTGAAAAAATGCCGCCCTCAAGCAATGCTTGTTTTGCAAATATTTCAGACGAGTATGCACGGCACTGAGGAGAGAAAGACCCACATATTGAAAACGATACGCCCTTAATCCTTGAAGGTATGACACATTTATAACACGAATGTGCGCAGCGCTGAGTCGAGGGCCACATGAAAACAACCCGCCTTCAATCCGTGAAAGGTCCGGAAAAGTGTGTAACACGAATGCGCGCAGCGCTGAGTCGAGAGCCACATGTTGAAAACGGCCCGCCCTCCTTCCGTGAAGCTCTTGCAAAGTTTAACACGAATGTGCGCGGCGCCCAGGCGAGAGCAACCTTTTGAAAACCGCCCGCCCTCCATCCGTGAAGCTGTCGCAAATTCTAAAATGGAGGGTCACCAATGGTATGAAATTCTGAGGCGAAACGCTTTGCTTGCCCTTTCGATCGACCTCGGAGGTGCCAGGGAGCATAAAGAAAAAACAGTGAGGAGGAGGAGGAGGAGGATAAGGAGGACATTGAGGAGGAGGAGGAGGACGAGAAGGAGGAGGAGGAGGAGGAGGAGGAGGAGGAGGAGGGGTGGTGCGAGCGATGGCGAGCGAGGGGGTCTGGGAGGATCACGAGAGGACCAGCGGGAGCCATGCAGGGGGCCTCCGGGCGGGCGAGGGAGCCCCGACCAGGCGCCGGGCAGAGATCGCAGCCCTTCCTCCTCCTCCGCCTCCGCCTCCTCTTCCTGCCGCCGCACGCTGACTCCGCAGCTCCGCACGCCCGCGCCACGCGCGCCCCCGCGGGGGCCCTGCCGTGGGCATCGCTCGGACATGTGCATTTTTCCTCGGCGAGAACCATCGAGGACCATCCTGGACCATCGAGAAAAAAAGACACGCGCGAAACCGAAAAATGCACGGGGAATGGACGTCCGAGCGACGGCCAGCTGCCGTAGGCAGGCCGTGTACGGCGCCAGGGACCGCCTGTACACGCGGCTACGGCTCCCGTAGTCTTGAAGGCCACGTCCGCCTCCGCCGTACCCCGATGGGATCGTGTTGACCCTGGCGACGAGGAGGCAGATGGGGGGGCCTGTCGTCGAACTGCGTGGAGGGGGGAGGCGTCGCAATGGGCCTCGGGGGGAGGAGTGCAACCGGTTGCGTCGTAGGTCACTCCCCCCCCCCCGTTTGAGACCTAGGTAGTCCTCAGATGACCACCTAGATGTTTGCAGTAATGATCAAGGTAGTATGGAACGTCTGGTACAGAAGGTAAGAGAGGCACAAGGAGTACGTAGGGAAGTTGACTTCGAAGCTGTAGCTCTGTACTTCAATCGGTACGCCGGCGCTTCGTACCCTGCGTTGCCAAGAACGGCGAATCCTCGTAAATCTTCACCGGTGGCGGCTAATTATTGTCGCCTGTAGCAAGTTACTGTTGGGGTCTCCTGGAAGTCGCTATACTGGTTGATGAAGTGGCCGAGGTAGCGGGCGCCCCCGATCTTGGTAGGATCGTAGACGAGGTTCTCGCCGTTCTTGAAAATGGTGTTCTGGTGGATTGGGTCGTAGAGCTCCATCTTGGTAAGCATCGCAGTGGCGTAGTGCTGGAATACCGGTCCATGCATGAGTAAAGACGTAGCTTTTTTTAAGTCGCCGACGTTGGGCGTCGGGTAATTCGGCAATTGTGGCATAAACGTCTTACCAACACTAGGTCTGTATACCTGGAATATCGTCGTGTCCGTGTACTCATCCGTCTTGATAACCAGGTAGCTGGAGCGCGTAAGCCAGTAGTTGCGGTGTAATGGCATAGGGTTCTGCCAGTGCGGACCCATACCCTCGCGCTCGTCAGGTACTGGCTGGTAGGAACCTTCTGTACGTGTACGTATACGTGTACGTCTCTAGACTCAGTGTACTTGTAGAAGTGCTTGAAGGCCGCCTGGATGTCGGAGACGTAGTAGCCGTAGGTGCCGTTCGGGTTCTGCGACATCTTCGCGAGTAACTGCGTCCAGCAGTTAGACGAGGACCCGTCCGAGAGTGTAAATGGGAGCGGGTACACGTCTTGCACCCAGACTCCGATCTGGCCGTGAGCTCCCTCTGTATACGACGCCGTGGTCTTGTCGGGTCCTGTCGTCTCGTGCCTCGGGTAGTAGTTAGCGTGGCGCGACATGTAGAGGTAGACGGCAGCACCCAGGTAACGGTAGGCGTGAGCTGAGAGTTTGAGCCGTAAGTTACGAACAGGGGTACATGATATGAAGATTTCGACGGCATCGTAGTGTAATTGCCACCAGCATTGGGTAGTTACCTAGCATGGGTATCTCGGTAGGGCCTCTGGTAACCTGGAGCGGGGCACGTGGGGCACAATTGTTACAGCCAATATGCACGTAGCAGAGAAAATGTGACTCGTATTGTATGGACACTGTGCCCCGTATACGCTGATTGCGTATGTCCCCAGCGAGGTAGCATGTAGCGTCTGTGATACTGGGCGTATTGCCGAAATGGCTGTATCAGCGCTGTGGGAAAGAGGGATATGTACTATCCGACTGCGGTACAGACGGCCTAGTAACACATGCAGCGATGGTGATATCTAAATTTATAACACCGATACTGATTTTACCACGAAGAATCTTAATGATAATAATATCAATAAGAATACTAATACTAATAATGCTAATAATAATGAAAATAATACTGGCCAGTCAGATTTGTTGGATTGTGGCTGGGAGGGCCGCGCGTTTTGGCGAGCTCTTCGGATGCGGGACCAGGTATTCCTGCGTGGCCTCCGCCTCCGCCGAGTCGACCAGTAGCGGCTTCTGCTCGTAGGTGATCGTGGGCGTGTTGTAGTTGACGCTGCGCAGCTGATAGTCGCCGCAGCCCTCGTAGTAGTCCTTGTGCTCTGGATGGCAGATGTACTCCCAGTCGAGGTCGACGTAGCGGCGGACTTTCCAGCGGAAGCCCTTGACGACAGCAGGGCCCTCAGGGAGTACTTCACCGTCGATCGTCTGGTACTTCATCGTGTAGGTCTCGGCGAGGCCAGTGTAGGGGCTGTAATGAAGTTTTTCATGACAGCACAGCCTGTTGCCGGAGTTGTCGTATATCATATTTTCTCCTCCTCCTCCTCCTCCTCCTCCTCCTCCTCTCCTCCTCCTCCTCCTCCTCCTCCTCCTCCTCCTCCTCCTCCTCCTCCTCCTCCTCCTCTTCCTCTTCCTCCCCCTCCTCCGCTGGAGAGAGCCGCGCCTGCGCCAGGTGAATTGCTCCCGCCAGGCGCCGTGAGCGGCGGCGGCGTGGGAGCTCCGCACGGCGGGCTGCAGGCTTGGGGGGGGGGGCACGTGCCGCCTGAGCGAAAAGTCGGCGGCGGGCTCGGGGGCGGACGTGAGGAGTTTGGGGCTCGAGGCTCGAGGTTTCAGACGTGTTCGGCGGTCTTCTCCAGCCTCGGGGTGCTTTCCAGCGGCCGTGCCTCGCCGAGAGCGTTTTCCAGGGGTGCGCGGATGGTTCCGAGCGGCCACAGCCGAGCTATGACCCCAGCAACCGCCAGGCTTCCGAGAAGGAGCAGGCCTTCTCGGGGGGCGGCGGGGCTTCTCAGAAGCGCTCGCGCCTTCTGGGGGGGCTATCTGTCGGAGGAGGAAAAGTTACCCATACCTCTACCCCGTCGCCCGTGTTCCCCTTTTTGAGCCTCCTGGGAGGCCCTCGTCGCCACCGCTGGATTCGCTTCGAAATCCTGGTCAGAACGCACCCCGGGAGAGGCCCCGGGGACCAGCGGTATCGGTACCTTTTGCTCTGCGTCTCGGGGCGAGGCTGGGACAACTTCTGAGGAGGTCCGAGGCCTTCGGGCCCTCCGAGGAGGGCCGCGCCTCCTGTCGCTTTCCCCCCCCCCCTGGGCGCGCCGCCGCAGACAGGACGTCTTGGTCTCGGCATCGCTCGGACGTGTGCCTTTTTCCTTCGGCGAGGACCATCGAGGAGCATCCTCGATCATTGGGCGAAAAAGCCACGCACGAAGCCGAACAAAAACCCAGGGAATGGACGCCCGAGCGATGGCCAGTGGTCGGCGGCGAAAGGCGGTCGCCGGCGCGCTCGGAGAGCCGGCGGGCCGCGCCGGGGCGCAGGGGTCGGGGCGCAAGAGGCGGGGGCCAGGGCAAAGGGGTGGGCCTCGGCAACGGCAGGGCCGTTTTTTTTCACCGTTTCCAGAAAGAAGCGTCCCTTAAGAATAGAAGCGGCAAAACAACGGCGGCCGAAAACGGCAAAAAAACGGCTCCAGGATTGGAACCGGAGCCGGAACCGGTCAACAAATTGCGACGGAACCGGTAACAAAACGGCGTCGGAACCAGTAACAAAAACGGCAAAACGGAACCGGTAAAAAACTGCCCTGTCGTTTCCAGGGCCCACTAAGGGTCAGCCGGAGCGCCCCGCTCTTGCAGGATCCTGCAGGGCCAGGGTCGCACTGGCCCGGGCTTGGGCGCAGGAGCCTGCAGGGTCTTGCAGGGTCCTTGGCGCATTGGCCCGGGCTTTGGTGCAGGATCTCCCAGGGTCTTGCAGGATCCTATACTAAGGCCTGACTGGCCCGGGTCTGGGTTGACCCGGGTCAGGAGATCCCCGAAGGGGCACAGTAGGCAGTTAGGATGAAGGCGGGCCTGTCGCTCGACGGGAGGAAAATTTCAAAAGAGTAACACAAACAAGCTGGGGACGTTGATTTATTTTGTTATTTTGGTGTGTTTTGTTTGTTTACTTCTTATTTTTCGTCGAAAACCCGGCCTGTAGGAGGACACGCCCGACCTAAGGCTAGGAAAAAAGAGGGGTGGCCGCGGAGGAGGACAGCGGTAGTGGGGGGCCTCAGGGTTGGTGAAGTTTCGCCACGAGGAGTGCGCAGGGGGACTCGGGCACCGAAGACCGGTGTACAGGAAGGTGAGCGGCAGTGCGAGCTGGACCGAAGACCGGTGTAGAGGAAGGTGAGCGGCGGTGCGAGCTGGCGGAGGGGTGGCAGCACAGGTCCTTGGCATCGCTCGGACGTGTGCAGTTTTCCTGCGGCGAGGACCATCGAGGAGCATCCTTGATCATTTGGCGAAAAAGCCACGCACGAAATCGAAAAAATCTCAGGGAATGGACGTCCGAGCGATGGCCAGGGTCCCACCAGAGAGGCAAGCCATCATTCACTTGGCAGGCACAGCGCGGAAAGACCAAACCACAGAACAGCGAGACAGCGAAAACAATTCTTCTGTTGCTTCGAGCAATCCCCGCTCAAGCACTCGAGGCGGGAGACCCAGGGAGCGCCGGCACACTTTGGGCTTGGCGACCGCGGCATGCAGTTGTCATTCATCGAAGGCACGAGCCGGGATACCATGTCGGCCGCGGTATGCAGGGTGTGTGTGTGTGTGGCGGGTTGGGGGTTTCGTTCTTTTTTCTAGCTTGTCGGGTGGTGAAATGCCTATCCTATGTTATCTTGCTCCTCCTCCCGCAGCAAGGCAGAATGTATGCAGGGGCTTGCCAGGAGGCGGCCTTGGGACGGCAGGGCGTAACGCAGCATCGCTGACGCATTCCGGGTTTACTCTTGTCCTCCCGCTCCTCCCCTTCCTCCTCTTGTGCTTCCTGGTGCGCGCAGGTGAGGTCAAACTGAAGCGGGGATGCGGAAAAAAACAAGGCTACGGAATCCGGTGCATGGAGGTGGGGTATCCCGCCCCCCCCCCCAAAGCCCACCCACCCACCCACCCCGAAGCAAAACCGGCCCGGAGCAAGAGAACGAGCGGAGGGGGGCGGGCACGGGCATTGGCCGGGGATGGGTTGCACGCCGGCCCGCCTGCCCGGACTGCAGCTGCCCGCCCACCTCGATGGGTGCCCGGTTCGTGGGGCTGGTATGACGAGAATCTCGAGGGCGAATCCAGCCGTGGCCGTGGCGAAGCCTCGCCGGCGGCCGGCGACGTCCGCGTCCCCGCGCCCCGACGTCGAGACCGCGATTGTCTGGGCGCTGCGATCTGCTCACGCCGGGTGTCCCTGGAATCAAGGCGTTTTCGTCGTCGTCGTTGTCGTCGTCGTCGTCCAGAAGAATGGGCTACCAGGAATCGCATTGTGCCGCAAACGATATGTTGCGATCACTCTATTGCCCGATGCCGTGCCGGCCAAGTGTGAAGGGTCTGACCTGAAAAAAGAAACCCCTCCCCCTGATCTCCCAGGACCTCGACATCTACACTTCCTGCCGAGGCTTCAGGCAGTCCGGATGTGGGTCTATAGGTCTGGAGGGTTGTCCTCCAGCACTTTTTAACAGTTTGAAACATATCCCTATCACTATGTTTGACATCACCTCACCTCGATACCGATGTCAAGGATCCCCTCAGTTTCTCAGGGCCCATCCCTAAGATTGTCCTCGCTTTTTGCTCGCCCATCTTAGGCATAGGGATACGTTCGAGGCTGGTTAACTCTGGAAAGTCAGGCTCCCTCCCTGCCCCCGGGGCTCAAGGAGGCGCTGGCGGGGCCGCCCGGCGCCCGCGGCCGCCCGCGCGCGCGCGCGGGGGCGCCTGGGCCGCTCGCGGCCCAGGGGGCGATGGCCCGGAGCGGCCCCGCCCCGCCCCAGCCCCGAGCACGGGCGCCGCGCGGGGGGAGGGCCAGCGGGGGATGGGGAGATGGCGGGTTGTGGTGGTGGGTTGTGGGTGGGTGGGTGGTGGTGGCGGTGGTGGCGGTGGTGGTGGTGGTGATGGTGGTGGTGGTGGTGGTGATGCTGGTGATATGGTGAAGGGCAAGGTCGGAGAAAGGAGGTCTAGGCAGTCGGGGGTCTGCTGGTCGGGGAACTGCTGGTCAGCTCTCGGCGAATTGACCGACCCCTAGGTCGCAGAGGAGGATAGGGCCGATGAATATGAGGAGGAGGAGGACCATAATGAATGCAAGCTGCGGCGGTGTGGCAATCCACCCTGCCGTCCCAAGTGTATCCTCACCGCTCCCTGCAAGCTTTCTTTTTCACCGAAGAAGCGCCCCCTTGAAAGGCCAGCCCTCAAATAGGCCCGCCGTTCGTACCAGAGCGTTGGTTCCAAAAGAAATGCACTGCATCCGTCTATTCTAGCGCGTGATCAGGCAAAAAAGGACCGAGGTATAAGATCGAGGTCGGTTCGGGGAGGCTACCCTAATGATCTTCGTGCTTGTTGGATGTTCTACAGCGGAGACTATACAAGTAAACACCCTGCTTGCCTCCAGGGTGCCCTGGTCTTCTTTGGTTTCTATGGTTTGCTATGGAATGCGTGACGTTTCCACACCAGAAAAGCATGGACGTCCTGGGGCCTCAGGACTCGATTTTTTGTGGAAGGTCTCTTGTGGTCGAGCTCCTGTTGTAGTGCATCTTGGGGGAAGGTACCCTCGACAGTTCTTCAGTTTGGCCGGCGGAGGGTCTCATGCTCTTTGGCCTGGGCTTGGCCGTCCGAAGAGACGGGGCGAGGACGAGGACGAATCTGTTCCAGAGCGTTCCGGAGCGCTCTCAGGGCGTTCCGGAACGCTCTGAGAAGGCCGCGGCGTCCGAGGCATCCTCCAGAGTTGCCAGATCTCAGAGATTCTCGATTTCTCCTCACTCGATGTTCTCCTCGTCTTGGCTTCGTCTGAAGGGTGCTCTCCTGTCCCGGGCCCGGCCGTACGAAGAGTTAGGACCACACTGCTGAACCGGTCGGGCGAAGAGAACTATGCACATGCACCGATCCTGGCAAGGTCCATCCTTGAGCCAGGATCGGTGCATATGTCTTCCTGGCCAAGGTAGGAGGGCGTATGCACCGATCCTGGGCTCAGAATGGGCCTGGCCAGAATCGGTGTCTGTGCATAGTTTTTTTTCCTCTAACCGGGGGGTGCGGCCAGAGATCGCCTTCCCGAGAAAGGACCGCCCCCCCCCACCCGCGCAACAGTTGCACAGGGTTGCTGCACGCCCGGTCGGAGCTCCGAGGGCATCTCGAGCGAGAGCCCTCGGGGAAGTGCCCTGAGCCCAAGGCGTTTCTTCGAGCGTCGAGCGAGCAACACGCACCCATACCCTGAGGGGGGTCCTTGGGAGGAGGACTGGCCATGGGTATGGTGCGGGCTGTCGTACCCTGGGGAACGCTCCCGTTCGAGCGGGGACCCCCATCCGACAATACGCACCCATCGCCCTCTCGGAATCCCTGATGGGTATGGGTGTGTGTGTGTGTGTATGTGTTGCTCGTTCCTCATTCGAGGGCCCGAGGTCTGCCCAGCCTCGTTTTGCATGGGGCTGCCCTATAGGTTTTCTCGTTTTGGCTCCCGGGCAGACAGATCGCACTCGGGGGGATGTCACCGCGCGCGAGCGTGCGTCCTCCTCCTCCTCCTCCTCCTCCTTCTCTCCCTCCTCTGCCCACATCCGTTGCCTCCTCCTCCTC